CTTTGCCACACCCTGAGTATGTAATGCTAGTCGCATATTTGTTTATGCCACCTACTCTCAATTTGTGATATGCTTAATATCACACTGAGAGCTTGTACTTCTCAGGTTTATTCTAAGTACCTATTTTAAGCTGAGTCTGTAAGCTTATACCACTAAAATAAAAAATCTGCTTCACTGGGGATTCAAACTTATAACCAGAACGATGGCAGGCAAGTGTGTCAGCCAGTCTACACATATATCAATAACACACATAAAGATGGGATTGGCTCTATAGTTAAGTGCTGCATATATGGATTCACAGTAAACAGTCATAATCATCATATAGCAGGTCCTTTGCAGAACGTCGCTCTCTTCACAGCTTGCCTGAAAGAAATGCAGTCTCTTGCCAGCTCTCCCATCTTGTGCTTTTGCATATCTAAGGAGTCACTTATATCCTGTGCCCATGTTCAAGTTGGTTGGCCCCTGCCCCTCCTTCCTTCCTGGTACCATGCTTTCTGCTATAATTATTTATAATCCACCTTGGCGCTTGACAGAAAATAGTATGTTCCTGAATATTGTATCTTTTTTTAATGGTACAGCGAGAAGTTACTAGGGGATCAGCCTAGTGCTCAACACTGAGGGGGAGGGGTGAGATGGACATGCAATCAGACTGTTTCTGGTGGAATCAGAACTGGAACTCTGAGATTGCTGCTGAAGATGGGAAGAGAGTGCTTATAGGAATGCCCTGAGTAGTATGATGTCAATTCTTATCTCAGAACTCACGCCTGTATTCCTTCACATCCACTTATTTAAATTTTTTTTTTGCTTTTTTTGTATGTCAATATCTGCTGTGTGCCTCTAGGCATCACAATTAAGGTAAAAGTCGTGAGGATTGTCTTAATTGCCACAAGTTTTGTCCCATTTGGCTCAGTCTCTCTTCACGGAATAGCTGGCCTCCTGCTGAGAGAGCTGCACAAAGCATGAACTCAGTAGCTCCGGCAACAATCCCTAGAGAGCTCTGTAAAAATTGCACTTGTGAACTGAATGGCGCATCCGTGAAATGAACTCACGACTTTCGCCACGGAAACCTCTGTGTTTAGCAGATGATAAGCAGCCAAACCAAGCCATAAGCAGCCAAACCAGGGCATAGGCAGCTAAACCTGGGCATAAGCAGCCAAACCAGGGCTTAAGCAGCCAAACCAGGGTTTAGGCAGCCAAGGGCATGCTTGCTTGCTTGGTATGGCGTGACCCTGTGAAATTTTAGGTTGTCAGTGATGCCTTGTTCTTCTTCTTGTTCACCAGCTAAAAGCTTTGATGGAAAGTTCCTCTTATTTGTCCATTTCTAGATCTAAGTTTTGTTTCAGAACTTGAGTTTTGCATGCACATATGCTAACGAGTCTAAACCAAATATGTCTAGCCTCATATGTTTTATGCTTCGCTGGCATGAAAAGGGTCGTTTACTTACTACTGTAAGATGACCTTTAAAATAGTATTCTTTAAACTATAGTTGACAGATAAGCCGTTTAAAAAAAAAAATCTCCATTATGTACATATTTAATATAAGTCACAATTTATTCATACACTTGAACCTTTTTTCTTCTTTCTTCTTCTTGCATTCCAACAAAAGCTCACATTCAACATTTATTTTATTATTTATAATAGCATTATTTAAACTTAATCTTTGAATTTAAAAGTTCAGTAACTATCCAGTTCAATGAAAAATGAAAATATAACCAATATCTGATTTGTTTCGTTAACATTGACTAAGCTAGAATTGTTCTACAGCCTTCTAATTTTTGTTTTTGCTTCAACTCCAAGATAAATTCTTTGTTCTATTACAGTTGCCTTATGCATCCTTGCTTTGGTTTTTCAATACTCTTCATTCAAGACTATTTTCACTAGTAAAACTGCAAAACAGTTCCCTGAAATATCATAGACAAATGTTTTATAGTGTCAAATTTAAAGATAATATTATTAAAACTGGTCACAGATGTAAAGTTGCACAATTACATTTTTTTGCCAGAGAACATGTGACACAAACTTATAAAACTGTAGTCTCTTTGACTTCCATGAGCTGTTTCTTAACAAAGTAAAAAGTCTCTTTTATTTCTAACTTTTTGTTTCTGTTTTTTATTTCAAAATTATTAGGTGTTGTAGAAAATAAAAAAAAGTTTTAAAAAGTAACACTTGGAGAAAAGAAAACATAAAAAGTTAAAAAAATAAATCTTTATTTTAAAACTATGAAAACTACAAAACACAAGAAGCTACATTAATATATGGTAACTATATTTAGCTATAATATCAAAAATTAGGTTATGATGAAAATAAATTGTTTTAATTTCATATTTTTTTTTTATTTTAAAAATACTGATGTTCAAATAAACTTTTTTTTTTTTAAAATAACAGTTATTTACATTTTTTAAAAATCTGCATTTTTAGACTGATGTTTAAACAATAAAGTTTTAGTGTAATAGTTTTATTGTGTTTTAAAATGAACATAATTTAGACAGTTTTTGTGTGTTTGACTACATACAGAACACACAATAAATGAGCTGCTTTTTATAAATGATCAGTACCTGATCTACAATGGAGGGGGTTGGGGAGTTCAAATACAGATATTATAACATGAAAGTAAATTCATAAATACAACCAAAAATGGGGTAATGTAGACAAATAGAATTTATAGCCCACTACAAAATAGTGTTGAATGGTAGTTGTCTAAAGCAAGGTGAAGAATTTATTATATTCTTGGAGGATGACATAACAGATCAGGAACTAGAAACGAGATGCCACAGGATGAGTGCATTTACATAACAGCTGATAATATGATTAATTAAGACATCCATACATAAGTATGACTGCTAAGAAACAGAAATTATAAGCAGCACATTTATACCAGCACTGTGTTATCAGGGCCAATCTTGGATATTAACTCACATATGCACTATTCACGTCTGTGAGATGAGCTGCTTGAGAAAAGCTGCTAAATTAACCACCTGAGATCCCCCCGTTTGGGTTCCGGGGCCCTAATTTAGGGAAAACCAGAATAGACCTACTGCCGTCCCAACAAGCATGTCGTAAGAGTCAACTAATGGGAGCTTCCTTTGAAGTCGGAGTTATCTACCCTAGCAGAAGGAACAACTAACTGCAGAGAAAAAGGCCAGTAGAATGGATGTATACGCAAAACTCACATCCTGGGCTGAAGTTTAAGTCCATATGGACAAACCACCAGGATTTTCCACCGTGGCTTACAGCCGGCGAACTAAGAAGAAGAACCATCTGAGACTGAGTGTGAAATTATACAGGCTGTGAGAAAAAAAAAAAATCTTGCACCAAATTCACTGAGAAGCAGAAGATCAAATGATTCAGTCATTTTGTTAGAATGTAGCCATAACATTTACCAGTACAGATCTAACTGTCAAAAACTCCTTTATTTTACCACTTTTGAAGTGTAGGCAGGGGGGTCTTTGAGCCTGGAGATTTACAGCTGCACAGCTAGTGCTGTCACCACAACTGTTCAGGTGAGGATTTTATTTTGCCCCAGCAGAAAAATCCTCAGCCTTACAGAGGATTTGAACCTGGGTCTCCCACTTGACAGCCCAGCATTCTAATCATTCAGCCAGTCGCTCCTCACCAGTAGAGGTCCTACACCTTAAACGATCTCATACAAAAGTAAGAGGAGACCTAAAAAAAAAAAGATGTACTGATAACATTCAAGACATTCTACATGCACACAGAATAACAACAGCCAGTGCTACCCACTTAGTGTTGGATTACAAATAGTTCTTTCCGATAATGCTTAAAAGCAAAAGTGGAAGTTGATGATAATGATGATGATAGAAATACAGAACATCAATATAATAGGTAAAATAAACATTATATATATATATATATATAATGCTTATGACCATTCTAACCCTTAAAAAAAAAGTCAAAATAAATAGAGCAGCGTGTAAAATCTTAAATTTATTATCTAACAACGATTAACAGATCAATTTGTCAACTGATTAACTAGAAGTGGTGAGCAGTGCAACATGTGGTCTCTAAAAAACTGCATGGGTTTTGTGCTGTGGAGAGGACAACCTTCATCCTCCAGGCCTTAATTTGCTGTTTGTGCAGGCCTTGCTATAACACAATCGTGGGGTGGCCATCTTAAATATGTCACCCTGTTCGCCTGCACTGTGATGACACATACTTAACACAAAATACAAGACTATGGTATGCTTAGTTTAATTTCTATCACAACTTGAGTGTTTTCATTTGAAGCTCCCTTGTAACAGTATTGATTGGAAAGGTGGGAAAAGATGCCAAAAAAGGCGGGAAAAGATGCTAACAACTAGAAATAATCAATGTTATTAAGATGCACACTGCCAGTGGTGATATATCTGAATTCAAATTGAAGCAGATTTTCAACATGAATTCCTGGTCAACTAAGCTCAAATGCCAGAAATATATTATAGGCCCCACAGCATGGGAGTTCAAGGGCCCACACACCCCCCCCACCCCCAAATTCCCAAATTTTGTAGAGTGGCGAAAGGGCTCTTTTAATTAATATATACAAATTCTCTTCAAAAGTAATTACTTATACATTTTGTATTATTCATATAAAATATTTTTTTTTTGGCCATTCGGCACATTATTATTACTATACCTTTAAACTAAGATTATGCTCACTGAGTCCCACTCATAACATTTGTAAGATCAGGAACAAAAAAGGGGGAGGGGTGAGGCTGAGAGCACCTCTCTCTCTCCTACCAATGTTTTCTTGGTGTCGGCGTCATGAACAAATATAAATATACACTGTGTATATACATATATGCTTGCACATAGAACAACATATACATATGTATGTGAAATATACATGCTGCATACTGATAAGTATAGACACAGTAATAAAAATATAAATATACGTGAGTGTGGGTATTCAAAGAAAACATACGTAAAGGTAAAGGTGGGAGCATATATTTAAACATACATATAATTTATTATGGGAATCATACATCAGTAACATTACTGCGTACATGTGGACCTGTACACATGGGTACATTGCAGAATCTTTTCTCTTTCTTTGCTGGGCATGCAAGACCACCATGTCGAGGTTTTTGTAATCTCCGTCGCTTTCTTATCTGTACAGAGCTGTCACCACAGGTCTCGGAACATGGCGACCACTGACTCCAGGCATCCATCTCACAGTTAACTGCTACAGATAAAGATAATTTATGTGTCAGAATGAATTTAGGTAGCTAATTTAATTATTACAAATTAAACATGATAAATATTAATTTATAAATTCGACTACATCTATGAATATCAAACAGTAGACAACCCCCCCTCCCAAACACACATACACACACACAAAACGAAAATAAAACAACAACACACATACACAGCTTAAATGGGTGCCAGTTGCAGTCCTGGGAAGTAAAAGTGGCCGGCATGATGCTGACTACATCATCCACATAGTGCCGATTAGTCTATAAAATATAGGTCTAGCCATATATGCTCCATATGACTAAAGCCATGGAGAGGGTCCTTTACTTTTTTACTTACGCTTACACAACAACTCTATAATGCCTACTGATCACTGTCTGTTTAGGGCAGTGAAAGATAAAGGGTCAACAGCCGGAGGATTTAGGGCCATGTGGCTAGGGCAGGGTAGGATGTTTATTTTTTGCATCAACAGAAAAAAAAAAAACCATCACATTAATGAGGGTTGAAACCTGCGTCTGCCACATGAGAGATAACAATTCTCTGTGTGGGTTCAGGGGGCCCTTTTTATTTGGGGGTGGGGGGATAGACTCAGTGCCTCAGAGTTCAACTGCCTGAAAAGTGAGGAACTAACAGTCTGCATACAAATAAGCCAGATCTGTAAATCAGATGTGCATACAAACTGCAAGTTCTAGAACAATAAAAAATACACCCCCCCCCCTCCCGCGCCCCCCACACAAAACAAACAACTGTATATTGCCTACAGTATCACTTCAGTATAAGATAAGTGGACAAACAACCAGTACTGTCTACTAGAGTTCAGGCAAACAAGGAGAAGAAAATAAGCATTACAGCCAGTCTGCCAGTGGCTTCTAAAGATCAGTAAACGAAAGTTTGTTAATTATACTATTTTATAACTGTAACACAGTTGGACAATAAGTAAACAAGCCAAACATTATTAGGAGGCCTCAGAGATACGGCATTCCAGAATAATGCTTAAAAACATTATACAATATTTATAAATCAAGAGAATGCCCTAGGAAAAGATAAACTGATAACATAAAAGCCATTCTGTATCCACAGGGAGTGATAATAGCCAATGTTATTCTATAATAAATTCTTAGGAAGCCAAAAGGTGCAATCTAGATGTTTGCAAAGTGGCTAAAATCCAAGGGCAACTTATGAAAATCAGAAAAAGACAAATGTCATTTTGTTTTGTTTTGGTGACACTGTGAAGAAAAAAACAACCAGAACATGTGAAAAGGGAAAGATTTATGGAAAGAAAGAAAGCAGAAGACAATGAAAGAAAAAAAGAGCTGGTGATTGATGAATGTAGAGAAGCATGCTCATTCGGCAGTTTTAATTGTAACAAATATTAACTACACAAGAAAAAAAAAAATAACTACCATCAGACTCTAAATTATTAAAATAACAAAGTTTTCTACATCTGAAGATTGTTAATAATAAGGATATAAACAATATATTTAAAGGTTTAATGCCAATATATTTCATTTCATATCAATGGATAATGGAATACATTATTCTTTGGAGCAAAATACACAAATAGCGTTGTCTGTTGTTACTCTCGAGCTCCCTGTGTGGTTTCCAGGGCCTTATTTTGTGTATGTGTGTGTGCACGTGTGCGCGCGCGCATGTGTGTGTGTGTGTGTGTGTGTATGTGCATGCATGTGTGTGTGTGTATGTGCATGCGTGTGTGTGTGTGTGCATGCATGTGAGCATGTGCATGTGTTTGTGCATCCGTGTGCATGTGTGCGTGTATACGTGTGTGTGTGTGTGTGTATGTGCATGCATGTGTGTGTGTGTGTCTGTGTGTGTGGAAGGGGAGAGAATAACCTCCTGCCCCACTTATTTGCATGTAGTAAGAGGTGACTAAGTTGAGGTGTTTCTTTTGGAGTCCGATTGCATCTGCCCAAAAGGCAAAATACCAACAGTCTGCATTCAAATAAGCCAGATCTGTAAAATGGATGTGCATGCAAAACTTAAATTCTGGAACAAGATCAAAGTCTGGGTGAAAAAACTAGAAGTCTCCACAGCCAGTGAATACTTCTTCTTCTTTTCTCTACTCCTGGAATGCCTCGCGGCATCAGGGGAGAAAGAGATCATTAGACCGGGCCCTTCTGTTCGCTTTGTATATAGTACTTTTCAGTGTCTCTGATATTTCTGCGGTCCACATTCTTCGTGGTCATCCTCTGGGTCTGTTACCGTTGTATCTGTATAACATTGCTCTCTGTGGTGCCCTGTCTGCTGCCAATCTTGTTACATGGCCAAACCATTTGATGTATTGTCTTCCTATAAAGTTCAGTATTGGTTCTGTGCCGATTCTCATCCTGATATCATCGTTCCTAAGTCGATCTTTCCTCGTTACACCTAGCATAGTACGTAAACATTTCATTTCTGTTGTGACTATTTTCCTTCTGTCTTCTGAAGACAGTGTCCATGTTTGACATTGATAGCAGAGGGTTGGTAAGTATATTGTGTTAAACAGTGTTCTTTTAGTGAAAAAATGCTTCCCAGATATGTAAATAACTTTGCCTGTTTTATTTGGTGTTCATCAATTTTGATATTGGTGGTTCCCCCTTTGAAGAAAATACCAGTGAATAGGCCTACTAAGAAAAAGAAAAAAAAAGCAGCCTACTCATCATCATCATCATCAGGTGCCTTGCCGACTGGCGTGGGCGATCATGCCTCTCCATAATCCGCGATCTCCTGCAGCATGTATCAGTTCGTGTGCCGACACACCTCCATGCCATGCAACAAGACCGTCAAGCATCTTCTCTCGTTGTCTTCCTCTATCCCTCCTTCCACAGATCTTTCCAGTGGTCACAACATGTTCTATTTTCCCTCTTCTCATAACATGGCCGAAAAATGATGACTGTCTCCTTCTGATGTCAGTGATAAGTTGTCTTCGGGCTCCCGCCTCTTTTAAAACCTCTTGGTTACTCTTTTTGGCTGTCCAAGGTATTCTAAGCATTCTTCTGTAAAACCACATCTCTGAGGCCTCCAAAAATTGTTTGGCCTGCCTACCGATTGTCCAGGATTCACATTCATATGTTAAAACTGGATGTATGTAGCAAGCAAGAATTCATGGAAGTGTAAAATTCACCATGGAATATTTAGGCCTGTATTGTGTGTGTTCTCAATTTTTAAATTCATGATGAGAAAACATTTTGAATCAGAGCTTTTTTAGAAAGTAGAACAAATTACTTACGGCACTTCTTCTGTCTGCATTTTTTCTTTTTAATTAATCTCTTCGGACATCTTCTCCCTCCATTTTGTGGCTGCACCTTGATCATGCGGGTTTTCATAATCACTCCCTTGCCACATGTGACTGAACACTCACTCCAGTCTGACCACGATGTAACGACACAGTCAACTGCAGGCCCTCCATTGGTTTGGCTCGCATCATAATCGCTGCCTTCATCATCATCGTAATTAGTTTCCACTTGTTTCTGTTTTTGTCTTAGCCTTTTCCTCCGTCTTCTCTCCATCCTCTGTTTCTTCCTTTGCACTTTCTGCTTTTTTCTCTTGATGCCATTTGAGTCTCCTGAGTTATCCTCTCCTGTGTTGAGGGTGGTGTCTGCTTGCCCTTGACTCAGCATCATCTGCTGTTTCATCATGAAATTCTGAAGATGCAAGAAAAAGTTTATGTAAGTTTAATTAGTTAGAAGTTTCTATTAGTTCTGTGAGTTAGAAGTTTCTATTAGTTCTGTGAGTTAGAAGTTTCTATTAGTTCTGTGAGTTAGAAGTTTTTATTAGTTCTGTGAGTTGGAAGTTTCCATTAGTTCTGTCAGTTAGAATTTCTATTAGTTCTGTAAGTTAGAAGTTTCTATTAGTTCTGTGAGTTGGAAGTTTCTATTAGTTCTGTGAGTTAGAAGTTATTATTAGTTCTGTGAGTTAGAAGTTTCTATTGGGGACTTTGTCATTGTCACACACAGTCAATCTGTAGTTTTCTTTAGGAGGTCTTCATTGGCCTCAATCGACCTTGGGGTCACTACCTGGTATGCCTAACCCAGTCATAAATAGTCTGTCACAGACGTCATACCATGAGTAGGCTTGATCAAGACCTCCTGCCTGAGAGCCAGTGTGGCTTCCAAAATGAGCGAGGGACCATTGACATGATTTTTGCTGCTCGCCAGCTCCAGGAAAAGTGTCAAGATCAAAACTGCGACCTTTATTCTACCTTCATAGACGTTACAAAGGCCTTTGATACAGTCAGCAGAGGAGGACTGGAAAATCATGGCTAAATTTGGCTGCCCTCAGAAGTTTATTAGGATTGTACAACAGTTCCATGAAGGTGTGCAGGCCAGAGTGCTAAAGAAGGGAAAACTGTTGGACCCTTTCCCTGTCTCAAATGGCGTAAAGCAAGGATGTGTGTGCTTGCACCAGTCTTGTTCAGTATGACATTTGCTGCACTGCTTGTCAATGTCTTTGATGATGACAATCCAGGAATTGCTTTAAATTACCGTACAGATGGCAGCATGTTTAATTTGGAGGAGACTTCAAGCTAAAACAAAAACTAAAAAAACTACAATTAGAGACCTCTTATTTGCTGACGACTGCTCTCTAAATTCCACTTCTGAGACCAGTATACAGCACATCATAAATAGATTTTTGTAAAGCCTGTACCAACTTGAGGCTAGCTATCAACACTGATTAAACTGTTGTTATCTATCAACCGGCTCCCAGAAAAAAAAGTTACTGTGATCCCACTATCACTGTAAAGATCAAAAATTAAATGTAGTCGACAGATTCACTTATCTTGGCAGTACCCTATCTCACAGAGTCAATATCGACAATGAGATCAATGTTAGAATCTCAAAGGCCAGCAGCAATTTCGGCTGACCAAGCTAAAGGTTTACAAAGCTGTAATTCTTCCAGTACTGCTCTACGCTTGTGAAACGTGGACTGTGTATAAGTGTCATGCTAACAAGTTGAATCAGTTTCAGATAAACTGTCTCAGAAAGCTGCTCAAAATCAAATGGCAAGATAAGATCCCAAATACTGTGGTTCTTGATAGGGCAAACCTGCCTAGTATCCACACGATACTGAAGAATTGTCAGCTGCGTTAGGCTGGTCACCTAACCTGCATGCTAGACTATAGCCTCTCAAAGATATTATTTTATGGTGAGCTACAGCAAGGGAAGAAGTGCCAGGGAGGTCAGAAAAAGCACTATAAGGACACACTGAAGACTGCTCTCAATTCTTTTGGCATCAACATAGTGATGTTGGAGGCTGCTGCACAAGACCGTTCTGGATGGCGTACATGCCTCAGACATGTTGCATTGTCCTGCCAGGCAGCAGAAGTCACACAGGCAGAGAAACGGACGCCGACTAGAAAGAATCGTACTGCTAATCCCACACTTACTGTGGCTTCCATCTGTTGTTTGCACTGCTCAAGAACTTTCCAGGCTTATATTGGACTAAACAGCCACCTTCGTACTCATAATCATTGATCATTACTACTTTGGATGAAAGGGGTCTTCATCACTCATGATGGATGAACAGCAACATTTTGAAACTTTCTACTCCACTCATACACCTGCTGAACTGACAGGCATGCATCACTGTACTGGGACCTTCTTACGCTGAGGAACTTCTATAGATTTTCACTGATCCAAAAAGAGGTAACAGAAAGCTACTCCTTTGTGGTGCATGTTAAAAGGGAGGTGGCCATCTTGAAAATGTCTGTCTACACTGTGATGTCAGTTGCTTAACACTGCTGACATCCCACAAGACAATGGCATGGGTACTGTAAATTTGATCACAATTATAAATTTTTAATTTGTAGTCTTTTCCTCCTCCTCCTTTTCATCCTCCTACTATTTCTTCTTCTTCTTCTTTTTCTTTTTCTTCTTGTTCTTTTTTTTTCTTCTTCTTTTTCTTTCTTATCTCTGTATATGCAGTATACGTCATCTGTAGACACTGATTTTAAATATCAGTATAGCCCATCCTTCTCTGCCCGACAATCAGTGCCACGCATAAAATACGTTGTGTTACTGGACACTCACTAAGCGTGACAGTCCTGCAACATAGGACAGGCCCTGTGACATGACCAGGCATGAATGGCAAGGGAAGTCACTCTCTTTCTGGGTCCGACTTCATTACTTGAACCATTTATTTATTTCCTGAAGCTCAATATTAGTGATTCTATTATTCCATTTAGTTTCCTCTATTCTGCTCAGGTACCAGTTAATGATTTTTTTTTAATTAGTTTATTAGTAACTGCCTTAGTTTTCTCCATGTATCAAGTCAATACAGCAGTTCTGATTTGACTAATAAAAAAAAAAAGTTTTAGGGATGCAACAAAACAAAGATAAGAACTCATAACTACCTTCAGATCGTCTTCATTCAGTGTCTCCTTTTGCTGCATCATTTTCTGTTTCTGCATCAGCAGTTCTTTTCTCCTCATATCCTCTTCCATTGTTTTCTGCTTCTCCACCATTCTCTGTTGGGCTAACATTCTTTGTTTTTCAACCAGTAGCTGTTTCTCCATCTCCATCTGTTTATTCACGATTTCTTGCTTGATCATTATTTGTTCCTTGCGAAGTATGTCCGCTGTAAAAATTTAGTTAGCATCAATAACATATAAATTATGTATTTATGTACGGATGTAAATTGTAGACAATAAGCTGGTACAAATCTAATGGCAGTGGAAACATGGTTTCTGTGAAACATGCATAGAATATCATGGGCTAACAAAAACAAATGAACCCACTCCCCTTGAGACAGAAGAAAACTAAACTGAAAAGAGAAACAATATGCTGAGCGTCATGATTATTTTAGACATGGTATGAAAATGAATAAGCTCTAGGAGACAACTGGCAACCATGGTGAGGGAAAAAAAGCAAGGGAAAGGCAAAGAGAAAAACATCAGGTTAGCTTGGGCAAGACAAGAACACAGACATAATTTATGACTGAAGTGATTATGTGAGATGTCAAACTATGACCAACCATGCTAACAGGCAGGGCACACGTTTATGGTAGAGTAAAAGTAAAGGACCTTTTCCCATGCCTTCAGACGTATTGGGCGTAGACGGCTAGACGTATATTTTATAGACCTATCCGCACTTGGTGGGTGATGTGGTCAACATTATGCCAGTCGCTTTTACTTCCCAGGATTTTACCTGCTACCCATTTAAGGCTGGGATGACCTGGGAACTGAGGTCAAAAACTGTTTTCAGCACTTTTGGCCAAGTAAAATACTCACATTTATAAAACGATAAATGGTGGTCCAAAAGGAGGTTATGTGATGAATAGTTGCAAACTAGCTCAGACTCTTACGAGATACGCCAGGCCAAATTAGAAGAGATCAGTTACAGAACAAATTGGAGGATGCAAGGACAACATTATAAGGAGGATGAACAGGAGGAAACATCAGAGGAACACACTGGGACACAGACAGGAAGGAGCGGTCTGGCTATTAGGATAGGAACATAAAGCCAGAGACTTGGCACACAGACCTCAGTCTTAGCCATGCAAGTGGCGCAAATAAACCAGACCACAAATATAACCAGAAACTGTTGGCAGCTTACTGCCAACAGCTGGCTTAATGTTTTTTTTTCTAGAATGGAACTGGAACAGGGAGCTAAGGTCATGTTTGATAAAAAAAAAAAGTACGGCACCATTTGGATTTGAACCCATGATCGTCATATCCACAAGCAAGCATACAGGTTAAATGAGTGAATTAATATTAAAATACACGCATTTATCAAGAAATATGTTTTACAAGGAGTAAATACAATCATGAGTCTCTCTTTTATTCTGTAAGCTAGAGTAAATTGATTTCAGCACCTTTTGGTCCAACCCATCTGATTTTGGTAAACCCTTAATACTTGTTAAAAAAAAACAACAGGGCCCTGGAACCAGCACTGGGAATACATGTCATGATCAGCAACATTTGGGGCCTTACCCATATGCTCAGCACACAGATCCACACATTCTTCTTCTGTCTCAAATCTGTTCTCATTGCCCTTGCAGCCTCCATAGCTAAACACCTGGCATTTCTCCACAGTGTGGTTGTAGAACCATCTTGGAAAATCACCCCGACATGGTCCTCCATCTAATGGCTGCTGGCAAAGTGCTGGAGAAGTAAGATTATAATAATGTATCAGAGACCTAACATTTTGAAATTTATTTTTCGCTCATATTTAGCTCAAATAATTAGGACATAAACAACTAGTGCTTGTTGAATACACTGAGGCAATCACTTGAACAGCTTTATGATAGGCAAACAGAAGAAACACATGGTAACTTCCGGCCAAAATGGAGAATAGTTTTGGCAGATAGGTTAGCTTCCAAGTTATTTTACTTCCTACAGCACTTTGGTTATGCATTTTCCTCATAAAGTCGGTAGTCTATGGTTTCATTGCCTGAGCTACTGAGTTTAGTGCTTGGTTGCAGCCCTGTGAGCTGTGTTTTTCCTGTGAAATGCTTTTCATTTGTTCAGTGATTGTGTCATGGTATTCAATATGGCCGGTAGCCGGTTTACATGTAAACTGGTGAAATACCTTATGTAATAATTCTAAGTGTGTATAGTAGCTAACTTATCATGGCTGACTACTTCAATCAATGACAAACTGCATTTCTGGTGGTGACTGTTGGCTCTGGCACCTCCAGCAAATATGCATCCTGTTTTGTATTTACTGCGTGCATATATTTGTAGACTGTTGCGAGACTAGTTGATTGCTCACCAGTTTTTGAATTGCAACAATGAGGGACATTTAATTTGATTTGCACTGGCAAAGAAATTGGAAAACCTGATTGCAGTGATGTTGAAACTGAGACTAAGACTGAAACGAAGACTGAGACTGAGACTGAGACTAAAACTTAAACTAAGACTGAAACTAAGACTGAGACTAAAACTGAAACTAAGACTGAGACTAAAACTAAGACTGAGACTAAAACTGAGACTAAAACTTAAACTAAGACTGAAACTAAGACTGAGACTAAAACTTAAACTAAGACTGAAACTAAGACTGAGACTAAAACTGAAACTAAGACTGAGACTAAAACTAAGACTAAGACTGAGACTAAGACTGAGACTAAGACTAAGACTAAGACTGAGACTGAGACTAAAACTTAAACTAAGACTGAAACTAAGACTGAGACTAAAACTGAAACTAAGACTGAGACTAAAACTAAGACTGAGACTAAGACTGAGACTAAAACTTAAACTAAGACTGAGACTAAGACTAAGACTGAGACTAAAACTTAAACTAAGACTGAGACTAAGACTAAGACTGAGACTAAAACTTAAACTAAGACTGAGACTAAGACTAAGACTAAGACTAAGACTGAGACTGAGACTAAAACTGAAACTAAGACTGAGACTAAAACTAAGACTGAGACTAAGACTGAGACTAAAACTGAAACTAAGACTGAGACTAAGACTGAGACTAAAACTGAAACTAAGACTGAGACTGAGACTAAAACTAAGACTGAGACTAAGACTGAGACTGAGACTAAAACTTAAACTAAGACTGAGACTGAGACTAAAACTGAGACTAAGACTGAGACTAAGACTGAGACTAAGACTGAGACTGAGACTAAAACTGAAACTAAGACTGAGACTAAGACTGAGACTGAGACTAAAACTGAAACTAAGACTGAGACTAAGACTAAGACTAAGACTGAGACTAAGACTGAGACTGAGACTAAAACTTAAACTAAGACTAAGACTGAGACTGAGACTAAGACTGAGACTAAGACTGAGACTGAGACTAAAACTGAAACTAAGACTGAGACTAAGACTAAGACTGAGACTGAGACTAAAACTGAAACTAAGACTGAGACTAAGACTAAGACTGAGACTAAGACTGAGACTGAGACTAAAACTGAAACTAAGACTGAGACTAAAACTGAAACTAAGACTGAGACTAAGACTGAGACTGAGACTAAAACTTAAACTAAGACTGAGACTAAGACTGAGACTAAGACTGAGACTGAGACTGAGACTAAAACTGAAACTGAGACTGAGACTGAGACTAAAACTGAAACTAAGACTGAGACTAAGACTGAGACTAAGACTGAGACTGAGACTAAAACTGAAACTAAGACTGAGACTAAGACTGAGACTAAGACTGAGACTGAGACTAAAACTGAAACTAAGACTGAGACTAAGACTGAGACTAAGACTGAGACTAAAACTTAAACTAAGACTGAAACTAAGACTGAGACTAAGACTAAGACTGAGACTGAGAATGAAACTAAGACTGAGACTAAGACTAAGACTGAGACTGAGAATGAAACTAAGACTGAGACTAAGACTAAGACTGAGACTGAGAATGAAACTAAGACTGAGACTAAGACTAAGACTAAGACTGAGAGTGAGACTGAGACTAAGACTGAGAGTGAGACTGAGACTAAGACTGAGAGTGAGACTGAGACGAAGACTGAGACTAAGACAAAGACTGAGACTGAGACTAAGACAGAGACTGAGACTGAGACTAAGACTGAGAGTGAGACTGAGATGAAGACTGAGACTAAGACTAATAAGACTGAGACTGAGACTGAGACTAAGACTGAGACTGAGACTAAGACTGAGACTGAGACTAAGACTGAGAGTAAGACTGAGACTAAGACTGAGACTAAGACTGAGGCTAAGACTGAGGCTAAGACTGAGACTAAGACTAAGACTGAGACTAAGACTAAGACTGAGACTAAGACTGAGACTAAGACTGAGACTAAAACTAAGACTGAGACTAAGACTGAGATAAGTTGTGAAGAAATATGCCAGATAAAATATTGTGAAACTACAATAGATTATTTGAGAAATTAAAAAATTACAAAAAATGATTGGAACAGCAGCAAAAAAAAAAAAAAAAAAGCATAAAACATGAAAGTAGAAACACCAAGAGGTAGAGGGCAACCAAAAAGAAGATGTATTGAAGTAGTCACTGATACCTTGAGACTCCACAACATCACAGCATACCAGACAACCCAATGTGTCTTAGCTCAAAAACAGATCATTTGTTAAACTGTGATATCTAGTGGTACAAAGCAGAATAGGGAAAAGAGACAAAGTACTAATTTCATTTTCTTAGGCCCAGTGGAGCTCAATCAATTGAAATCTGACTCTGTTCATGTCTTCTGATTATTTCCCTTCATATATTTTGAGTCGGCATCTGTGGCTTAGGCGTTGCGATTGTGCTTTGTAATGCTGGGGCGCCGGGCTCGATCCCAGCTGCAGGCCTTGCTCCTTGCCTTGGCTTCGACAGTGCTATTGAGAAGCCAACCCTCCAGAAAGCAATGGCAAACTACATGATGTAAATTTGCCTATAAAAACCACAACAGCGGAAAAAATGCTGGGGTTGGTTCTGCAACATCCTGTAAAGGATAGGCAACTAACTTAATAATGTCTTTAAATACGTTTGTAAGCATTACTTAGTGACCTGCGCAAAATAGTTTTGTTTTTTCCCCCCAGGATTTTGTTTCTGGGAATTCCAAGGTTCATGCCCCCCCCCCCCCCACCCCAAAAAATGGTTTGCAAAGTGTAAGGGCTAACAATAACAATCATCATCATCAAGTGCCTTGCCAGCTGACATAGGCATTCATGCATCTCCCCAGATCTTGGTCTTTGGTGTTCTGGATCAATTCCACTGATAATATTCCTCCACGCCACTGTCTAAAGCCAATAACAATAACAATGCAAGTTTGAAAACAAATTGTACCTGTAAATTTTTCAAATAACAATGCAAGTTTGAAAACAAATTGTACCTGTAAAATTTTTCCAATAACAATGCAAGTTTGAAAACAAATTGTACCTGTCAAATTTTTCCAATAACAATGCAAGTTTGAAAACAAATTGTACCTGTAAAATGTTTCCAATAACAATGCAAGTTTGAAAACAAATTGTACCTGTAAAATTTTTCCAATAACAATGCAAGTTTGAAAACAAATTGTACCTGTAAAATGTTTCCAATAACAATGCAAGTTTGAAAACAAATTGTACCTGTAAAATTTTTCATCATCATAGCTTTTGTGCAGTCGAACACCTCCCCTCGACATAAATCCTTCTCCATCAAATGGATGCCACAGTCCACTCGTTTCTCTGTGTTCTGGAGAAACATTCGCCATCTTTCCTGCAATGTAAAATCAGAAAAATAAAACCATATACTCTGAAATTGTCAACATCCTCATCATGTAGCATGTCCTTTATGGAATATCACTCTTATCCCATTTTGCCTGAAAGAAACTCAGTCTCTTGCCAGATACCCCCGTCTCATGAAATTTCCTATCCAAAGTGTCACTTATGTGCAGCCAGATTATTTCCCAGAGTGCTCGTTCACACAGAAGGACTGTTCCTAATTGGCTGAAGTTGCCTGCTGAAGATGTTGAGGAACAGATTTACAAGCTGGCCAGAAAACAAGGCTTAACACCCTCATAGATTGGAATCATGCTGAGAGATTCATATGGTGTTGGTTCAAGTCTCATTTGTCACTGGAAACAAGATCCTGCGCATCTTGAACTAATATCACAACAGCAATGAATTCAGCTTCTATTACAAATGTTATCACAACAACAATCAATTCAGCTACCATCACTACTGTTATCACAACAAGCATCACTTCAATTACTATCACAGCTGTTATCACACTGACCATCACTCCAACTGTCATCACAGCTGCTATCACAACAACCATCACTTCAGCTACTATCACAACTGTTATCACAACAAGCATTACTTCAGCTACTTTCACAACTGTTATCACAACAAGCATTACTTTAATTACTATAACAACCATTATCACAAACAATGATCACAACCATTATCAGAAACAATGACCACAACAAACCTTCATGCCAAGACCACAGGTGGCGCTGCATGGTGACCAGTCAGACCAGCCAGTCACAGTGCAGGCGTCTGAAGGGTCTCGTTCTTCATTTGGTCGCATTAGGAAATTATCAGGAAGTGGTTTGCGGCGGGATTCTGAAAATAATTTTTAGAACCTATTGTTAATGTAGCCAACATAAAAGACATCAAAGGAAATAATAGGTATCGTGGAGTGGCTGTTGCGTTCTAGGCCTCAGCATGCATGGGAATGCCCAACAGGCAGTGACGTCGATTGTGATAACATAACTATACCAGCAGTTAAAAAAAAAAACTTTTCTTTTTCTTCTTTGCATTCACAGGCTGTGAATGCCAGTGGAAAGTTATGGTTGTTTATTCACTTCTAGACTTGAGTCTTCTTTCAGAAACTGAGTTTTGCTGGGCATCCATTTTAAAGGCCAGGCTTATTTGTGAACAGACTGTTGATTCCTTGTCTCTCAGGCAGATGAACTCTTGACTTAGAAAGAAATATGCCCAATTAGTTGATGTTTACAACATGCTTGTTTGGGGAGGGGGAAGGAAGGGGAGGGGATCCATTCTTTTTTCCCCCACAACAGGACTCCAAAACCCACATGTGGATATTTATAATTAATTATTTCACTTCTTTCTAATCACTCCCAGGTCAACCCAGCCTTGAGTGGGTACCAGGTACAGTCCTGGGAAGTAAAGGTGGCCAGCGTGATGCTGACTACATCACCCACCAAGTGCCGTTTGGTCTAAAAAATATTGGTCGAACCTTATATACCCAATTCGTCTGAAAGGCGTGGAAAAGGGTATTCCTTTTACTACATTCTAATCAACTATATATAACTGTAGGTTGTCAATAATTTTTGGTCATGTTCTGAAGAAAAGAATTTGAAACAGTGACAACTGGCAGATGTGACAGGAAAAATCACAAGGCGGTGAAAAGAGATAAATATCTAGATGACCCGAAAGTGTGCCACAAGAAAATGAGAACACAGAACTGATCCATGATTCTGACAAATGGGTGAGATACTGAATTATAACCACTGACACTTATGACGGTGTTAGTTTTTAATTGTAGTGTCAAATCTGTCCTGCTGTTTGGAGTACAAACATGAAAAACTAAAACAATTTGAAAAACTAAAACAATTTGAAAAACAAAAACAATTACTAATTGTTATATTATACGTCCTTTTGTGGGATGCAATTTTTTGGTTATTTTGAAGCCCTATCTCAGCTTTTGCTGGAGGCCCTAAATCTAGCCAGGGTTGAAATATGGCCAAAAGGCTGAAAGGGGTTTCCGGGAGGTCTCCACTGGTGATCCTCATCCACATGATGGCACTTTGTGTCATGTCCTGGTGGGGTACAACCTACCTACCTACCTATAATTACAAATAAACTATAAACATTCATTAATTGGTGCCTGTGCAGAATGGAGGGAACTAAATTGTAAGATATAATCACTAGTCTTGAGCTTTGGGAGACATCTAACCAATTCCAGTGAATCAGGAGGTGAAGAAAAGATGGTGGCATTGGATAAGACACACATTGAGAAAACCTAACAACAATATAACTAGTGTGTCTTTACACTTAAACCCAAAGGGGCACAGAAATAAAGTCAGACCAGAAAACAGGTGAGAAGGGAGGGAGAAAGTCAAATTAAAAAGATAGAGAAGACATGGGTTGAGCTGCATGCGATAGCACAGTACAGGATGACTTTGTGTGAGTTGATTGAGGGTCTAAAATACATAGGGGGATGAGGGGCAGAAGAAGACACTTATCTGAATAGCACATGATTTCCACTTCAGCTGGAATCATTGGAGAAGCCACTGCATTAACTCATTGCCCTGAATTCAGTGTCAAAAGTCGGGTGTCTCTAAGGCGAAGGTGTCAGACCATTTGTCTTGCACTCTGAAGGTCATGGGTTCATTTCATGGTGGCAGCGCTTGGTTCACGAGTGCAGTTTCTACAGTGATCTCGGGGATTGTCGCCGGAGCTAAGGAGCTCATGCTTCTTGTGGTGCTCTCGACAGGCGGCCATTTTTTTTTCAAGCCATATGGAACAAAACCAAATCTGCTGCAATGAAGTCGATACTCTCACCTCCAACCTTTCAAAACTATGAGTGTGTTCTTGCATATGTTCTATATATGCTCTATGTATATTTTGTGCATGTTCTATACACTGTCTGTGCATGCTCTATGTATATTCTGTTTATGTTCTATGCATGTTCTATATTTTGTCTGTGAATGCTCTCTGTACACTTTGTGTATGCTCTATGTATGCTCCAATTAACTCTATGTATATACTGTGTATGCCTCTGTATATGCTCTGTTATACTCTATTTAGTGCATGTTCTGTGCATGTTCTGTACATGGTCTATGTCTTGTATGCTCTACTTATGTCATGTTTATGTTAATTTGTATGTTCTATTTAAGTTCTTCGTAGGCATTGTGTAATTTTATGCATACAGTGATGTGCATGATGTGTAAATATTCAATAACATTTTCTTCTATCAAACTCCTCTCCGCATATTTTGTTCCTAAACCTCACCTTTACAATCGCCTACACAAGGTTCTGTCTCCATCAGTACTAAGGCACACATATCCGGCGTAATACCAGGACTTTTCAGAAGGCGCCTTCTCTCCCGCAGCCCATTTCCACAAGGATTTGAACAGTCCGACCATTCAGACCACTGGCTGGTTGCGCATTTCTCCATTTCTGCCACAGTACACACAATTCAAAATTAGTGTACTAAAAAATATAAAGAACTGGCTGAATGCCCATTTTTCAACCCTTCCTTGCCCTCTCCTTTTCCGCTTTCTCTTGGGGTATCATGATAATTATGTGCCATGTCAAAGGGCATAAAAGGTCATGATTTACCCTCTCATATCAGCACCAAACGTGTCCTATTCTGTTTGCTGTGTCTAGTTCAGCCTATTATGTCTTGTTCTGTCAGTGTTGTGCTCTCTCTGTTGTGGCTTGAGGTGTCTGTGTTGTGCTCTCTCTGTTGTGTCTTGATGTGTCTGTGTTACTTAGTCTGTTGTCTCCTATTCTGTCTGTTGTGCCCTGTTGTGTCCTGCTGTCTCTGTGTTCTGCCTGTTGTGTCCTGTTCTGCTTCTTGTGTCCTGTTCAATCTGTTATGTCTTGTGTATTATTTTTTCTGTTATGTTAAGTTTTGTATGTGTTATGTTCAGTCTGTTTTTTATAAGAAACAAAATTAAATGTGTTGCTTTTGTTAACCTGATAGAAGGGAACTAAATGACATGATAAAATCAATCATGTTGAGCTTTTGAACAAATTCCAGTGGATCAAGAGGTGAGGAAAAGATGCTGGCATTGGTTAGGACACACAATAAGAAAACCTTAGAACTATGTAACTAGAAGGGCTTTAAACTGGAACACCCAAGGACATAGATATAAAGGTAGACACACTCACAAAAACATGGGGAAGGGAACTAGAGAGTGAAGTTAAAAAGATAGGGAAGTCAAGGAATGAGCTGCATGGGATGACAACAGACAGAGCAACTTGGCAGGAGTTGGTTGAGGACCTATGCTCCACAGGGGGATAAATGGTAGAAAAAAGAAAGAAAGAAAGAAGAACCTTGTAGCACACTAATACATCATAACATACCCAACTTCTTCTTCATCATCATCTTCTTCTTCATCATGCTGACCAGCTCTTCCGTGGAGGGACTATTTTCTGCGGAGCTGCTCTTGCCATCATCTGATGTGCAAGCCTCTTTATTCTTGGTTATTATGAGCCTGGTGAAAACAGACAAATAGAGTACCCACACTTTCGCCCTTTTCAAATCGTTTCAAAATGACCTTTTCAAGATTTTGTTAAAACACATTGTTATAATTTTCTGAAAACTCGCGTGTATCCTCAGGGGCGACCTGAAAGACTCAGTGCTTAATGAGTCACCTTCCACTGTGTGTCTTTAAATTTAGTGTATCTATACAGTTCTGGGACCACAAACCACTGTTCTTTCATAACAGCCTAGAAAATGGTGGGTCGTCCTTATCATATTTGCATTAAAAGACATTTACTTGAGCTGATAACTTGTAAATCCCCAGGAAGACCACATTTTACTTTTATCAATGGTCAATCAATCAACTGTGTTATCTATGGTCAATCAATCAAACATTTCATCAATCTAATAATCAATAATTTAATCAATCAATCATTCAATCAATCATTCAATCAATCAATAAACTAATAATTAATCAATAATTTAATCAAATAATCAATAATTTAATCAATCAAACAATAATTTACTCAATCAATTGATCTTTTAATCAATAATTTAATCAATCAATCAACCCTCTAGTCAATCAATCAATAATTTAATCAATCACTAAATCATTTAATCAATCATTTGATCAATCAGTCATTTAATAAATAAATCATTTAATCAACCAATCATTTATTCAATCAATCAATCAATCAACCAATCAATGATTTAATCAATCAATCAATCAGGTGCCATCTCTATGATGAGGACTGGCTGCAATGGGATTCGCAACATGCTGTATCTCTGGCTCTAGGTGTATACTCTCTCGACTGATATTTGTCAATCTCTTGTTGTTATCCTTCCAATTTTACCTCACTCTAAAAAGAGTTTCTAACTTTTGAAGTGAGGTGGCTGTAGACAGTTTTTTTTTTTTTTGACGTCCCAAACCCTTTTGGGAAATAGTAGGGTGAGCAAAATTGATGTTAAAACTTCACATTTGCAGACCTACATCTTGAGACCAGATGGTGATTCAGGAAATCACACAGAGAATGACTACCATTTAGCATAAATGGGTAAGGTTTCCATCACTGGTTTTACTTACGAATATTTCACTGTCAAACGACTTCAGTTTTATCTCTAGAGAGAATTTAACTTTTTAAATCCAAGAAGAATGTTGCAGCAAACTATCAGAAAGTAAAGGAGATCAATAATATAAAGAGCCAATGTGGCAATTACAATCAGGAAGGCCAGATTCCTTTAGCTCGTTTTGACTAAAAATACTGAGTAAAGAGGGAAATGCCATCTATATAATCACACACTGATTTTGACTGAAAGTATGAAAAAGGAAAATACGACTTTCTATATTGTGTTTATTATCTGAGTAAATTTTTGTTAAATTTATGGTTTTTAAATTACACTTTATATTAAGCGACTGATATCACTGCATTAAAAAAAAAAAAACAGCTTGTGCCATAAGTCACTTCGTTTCATCTTTTTTTTTTTTTTTTTAGAAAATCAGTGAAGCAGCTTAAAATAAGCAAGACGTACAGTGTAGATTTAGTGGTATAAACTGCATTTTTGGTGTAATCTGTTACTGCCCAAAACTGCCAGTTAATGCTTTTATTTTACCACTTTTGCGGTGTTGGCAGGGGGGTCTTTGAGTCTGAGGATTTATGGCTGCAAGGCAAGTGCAGGCAAGAATTTTATTTTGCCTCAGACAGAAAAAATCCCCAGCCTTACTGAGGATTTGAAAGGATTGAGAGCCCAGCGTTCTAACCGTTCGGCCAGCCACTCCTCCTAATTTGTTACACCAACGCATATTTTAGCTGTGGCATTATAGGGTAAGGTTGTGTATTTCCTGAATTGCTGTCTTTCATTAACTAACATCACTTATCAACAGAAGAAGAGAATGATCAAATCAATCAGAATGCCACCGAAACTGGCACAAGATGATTACCATATTATGGACAGACCAGAGCAAGTCATTATCCTTCGCCTTAGAACAGGGCACAATCGACTTCGCTCCCACATGTACAACAAATTTAAGATTGGCCAATCAGCCATGTGTACTTGTGGACTGGCACCTGAAACAACAGATCACATCCTTCAAGACTGTCCCAGATTCAACGCTTTCAGGCAAAACCTTTGGCCAAAAGAGACACTTGTGGAAGTCAAACTTTACGGGCCGCTTAGTGAATTACAAAAGACAGTGAAATTCATACTAGAGACAGCTTTGCAGATATAGACAATTTATTTCATGCGAACGAAAGAAGAAGAAGAAGAAGATTAACTAAAATTGGTAACAACATTCTGAAAACACTGAAACATTCTTACCGAGCAAAAGGTTTAATGTCCACACCATAGAATGGACTGTCCATGTTGTTAGGATATGTGCTTGTAAGTCGATGTATACGTTCTGGAGGTTCGGTGGGAGATTTCCGGCCCTGCAGAATAAATTATATTTACAGTATATTTAGTTGTCTGAGAATCCTTGTCATAACAGTATGAGAAATAAATTTTCTCCAGGTTTTGTCAAATGAAATTACAACTAGGGCCAGACTAAGAATATCTGACTATCCTCCGAATAACCGGCACATATTATGGCGGCCAAAAACACACCCTGACAGGGCCTCAGTCACATGTAAATTGCGAACTTCCGGCGACTACCGCCACCGCCGAGATTGTCTCCCACGCCGTTATGCACAGTGTAACGCGGGGCTAAACTAGATGGCTGGGACTAACGTGCAAATAAAATGAAGGAAGCTGCTGCTCGTGAGTCCCAGCCATCTAGTTTAGTCGCCGGAAGTCCGCAATTTACATGGGACTGAGGCCCTGTCAGAGTGTGTTTTTAGCCGCCATAATATGTGCCCGTTATTTGGGGGGATAGCCGTAAAATGATTACCTGTGGGCTATCCTCCGAATAACGGCCACATATTATGGCGGCCAAAAACAGGGCCTCAGTCACATGTAAATTGCGAACTTCCAGCGACTATACTGCCACCGCCGAGAGTATCTCCCACTCAGCTACATGCGACGTGGATTTGTGCTAAACTAGATGGCTGGGATTCACGAGCAAAGCTGCAGGAGATGTGGAAGCTGCTGTTCGTGAGTCCCAGCCATCTAGTTTAGCCCCAGTCCATGCCGCGCGTAGCGGAGTGGGAGATACTCTCAGCGGTGGCGGTAGTTGCCGGAAGTCCACAATTTACATGTAACTGAGGCCCTGTTAGGGTGTTTTTGTGGCCGTCATAATATGTGGCTGTTTTTCGGAGGATAGCCAAATATTTGAAACTAATGTAAAGCAGTTCCTCAATGTTAGTTCCTGGGCCCAATTTGTAGAGGGGGAAAAAAAAATTAAGAACAGTCCCACTAAAATTGTGAGAATATTCTCTCATAAGAAAACTAACTCTCTGTGAACTGAGTTCTCTGAGAAGGCTGTGAACAAAAAAGAGATCCTGTGAGAAATAAAATTAGAAAAACTATTAGAAAAATACTTCTTCTTCTTATTCTTCAGCATTCGGAGCCCTTGAGGTTCATTGCAGATATCAGGCACCTCCATTCATCTCTGTGGTTGGCCTTCTCTTTCCACTTGGTGACACCAAGCGTTTGCAGGTCTGCCTGGACATTATCTATCTTCTTCTTGGTCTAATTCATGGTCTATGACCATTAATCTCCCTTGTGTATACAGTTTTAACTTCTCTGTCATCTGACATTCTCTCAGTTTGCCCCAACCATTTTAGTATTAGAACAATACAAATTATTAAATTATTTGAGAAACAAAGAATAAAATGGTTCAGCCACCTAAAGAAACTCAAAACAGTTAAAGTGCATGGCATGAAAATGGAAACAAACACCAAGAGGCATAGGGAGGCCTAGAAGAAGATGGACGAAAGGACACACTGACAGCCTGGTTTCACAACATCAAACCGAGTAACAGATACCCCATTCAATTCCTAAAGAAGTATAATTAAAACATCATGGATACCCTTGTCTGTCCGGCTGTCATAGGTGGGTTGAATTATTATTTCTCCTGTGTGGGTAGATAGACTGAAGAAGTCACTGACAGCCTTAGACTTCACAACGCCACATTATACCGAGCAGTCGAGCATGCCCTGGCTCAGCTACTTATCATCAGTTAAAGTGCGTCACTTAGCGGCACAGAGCAGATAGTGGCAGAAGAGATGCTCACACAAGACAGAGGATACTCACAATGTAGGTGACCCTACTGTCTGTCCCAGCATCCCATGGGTAGAGGTCAATGTCAAGGCTGTCCACCCACGTGCAGTTACTAGTACACATGCTCTGTCCACTCACACCTGGATCAAGGGATAAATGAATACACTGGAAATAGAAGTACTCATAGAAATGTGCACATAAACAATAAAGCATACATACACTGTGAGCTGGGGATTCCATTTGAACTGTGATAAACATTTTGTGTGTTTTCCGTTGGCACAGGAACGTTGCAACTATAGGGTGACCCGTTTGCTATGAAGCTGAAACTAAGATTACCAGATCACCAGATACATACATGGAGTGTGTTACACAATCACTTTCTTGAAGGGAAAGGTAGACACATGGCAATCACTGCCTCTGGAGTATGGAGCAGTGGCAAGGTGTCAGTGGCGTAGCAAGGTCATGTAGTACCTAGTGGAGAAAACTTTCCATCACCCCAACCACACCACACACACATATATTTTTTATATTAAATTTACATATTCTCTGCCCTTTTGTTACCCACCTCCAGTGATTGCATCCAGGACTGCCGGCACCCCTTTTTACACCTCTGCCAGGCGTGCATGTACCAGTTAGATTGCCCCCCCCCCCACCCCCCCCACCCCAAATTTTTTTAAAATTATTTTACTTTTTATGCAAGTCAATTTACGTCTGCAATTTAGTGAAAAAAAAATAAAAGCACCCTTAAGTCGCTTATGCAGAAACTATATTGTGTGAAGGCTACCAGTTACTTTAATGCTAGTTGTACACACATACTCTCAACGGTTAAGTGACATCAGGAAAATATCATCTGATACCCTCTCTGGTCTAATTGTTACCTGCTAACACTTACACATGTGTTTAACAGTCACTGCTGCCTTTCCCTGGTTTGAGAATCAGCTGTACACACATGCCGTGATTGTCACTGACTCACAGAGCATTTTGATAAAGGTGGAGACAGGTATGCTTTGTGCAGAGTGGCAAGCATCACTTCAGAAGCTCTGTAGTTAGTGGATATTCTCTCCAGGCAGTGTGTTGGAAAATGAGCAGGCAGATAGACTGGCTGGTTCTACGCCACTTGGAGGTGGAATGATGTATGACAAGCTAGACGTTGTAAGGGCTCTCTGGGAGCAACTGAACAGTGCGGAAGCGCAAATAGATCATTACTGTCTGAGGAGAATGGCGCTGCGAGGAGTTACCAGGGGTTCTGGCCAACACTCAACACTCAGAGGAAAGGATGAGACGGATATACAATCAGACTTGGGTACATTGGAACCCTTCGTTTGCTGCTGAAGATGGGGACGGAGAGCTTATGGGGGTGTCCCGAGTGTAATGAAGCCGATTCTTAATTCAACATTCAACAGAGAAATAGTCAGGAGGAGACTGGAACACTATAACATGTCCAATGTGTAATGAAGATGATCTTTAAATCAACAATAAACAATGAGGGCGACATTCTGCAAAGGACCTGCTAAATGAGGATGACTAGTTACTCCATTATGAATGTGATCAGTGTTTCTGTAGTGAAGTGGTCAAGCAGTCTGACTCGCTCTCTGACGGTCCTGGGTTTGTTTCCTGAGCAGTATCGTTTAGTGTTACCAGTGTAATTTATACAGAAATCATTCGACTATGACTGAAGCAATAGAGTTCGTGAGTTATTCTACCATGCTCTCACCACATGGCTTGTTGCTCTATGAAAAAAAAAAAAAAAAAAAGCGGTTGGGGATAAAACCCTCTGAATTGAAGTTAATCATTTCAACTTTAACCCGTGACCCTAAATGCTTCTTCTTCTTGTCTCTACTCCTGGAATGCCTCATGGAGTCAGGGCAAGAAGAGATCTCTGCAACGGGCCCTTCATTCGCTTTGTATAAAGTACTTTTCAGTGTCTCTGATATTTCTGCAGTCCATATTCTGCGCGGTCAACCTCTGGCTCTGTTACCGCTGTATCTGTAAAAGATTGCTCCCCGTGGGGCTCTGTCTGCTGCCAATCTTGTTACATAGCCAAACCCTTTGATTTATTGTCTACCTATAAAGTTCAGTATCGGTTTTGTGCCGACTCTCCTCCCGATATTATTGTTCCTAAGTCAATCTTTCCTTGTTACACCCTGTCAGTTCGTGTGAGATCTCTTTATTTTCTATGAGCACTAAATTGGCACCTTTAATGCACTGCACAATAACTTACAGATGAAAGTAGTCAACTCGTAAAAACATTTAGTCATAGAAAGTGACTGCTTTCAGGACATTTTATGAGAAGGAAGGGACTCGAGAACTTGGTAACAACTGGTAAGATGGATGGAAAAAGAGCAAGAGGATGGCAAAGAAATCAGTTCTGGATGGTCTGGCCAGATGATTAGGGCAAGACAAAAACACTGACGAGATCTGTGATTCTGGTAATCATGCGAGAAGGCAGAATATGATGGCCAATGTTTATCGGCATGGCACTTGATGATGATGAAACTAAGCTCAAACTTACCCAGACACCAGTCAGGACTTGGGCCTATCATGGTCAGCAGAGACAGCAAGGGCTTCATTCTGTTCACTGTGTACACGGCCTTCACAGAGTCTTGGATAGCATCGGGCCCCCACAGCTGTTTGGTTTTGATCACTGTTCGGATTCTTTCGGTCTGGAAATAGAGGCGTGTGTACAGCATGCATATGAGCATCGAGTTTAAGCAACCGTCATCATTATCGTCATTACTATCATCATCATCCTAGTCATAATCATCATCATCATCATTATCTTCATCCTCACCATCAGCATCATCATTATCATCTTCTTCTTCATCATTGCCAACATCATCACATTCATCATCATCGTCACCATTATCATCATTGTCATAACCATCATCATCATCATCATCCTATTGTGCCCTTATACATTATATACAGCACACTGGCTAGTCCCCCCCCCCCCCCCCCATTGCATTATATCCTATGAGGCCTCTCTTAACAAAGTTCGCCTTAGGGTAAATCTTGAACATCCGGGTTCCCTCTCTCCAGCTGTTCCCCATTTCAGTGCCCATTTGGTGATTATCTGTCGTTTCTCCACATAACATGGCCCTGTATATTACCACCAATCTGCCTTGTCAAAAGAAAAATAAGTAACTGAACACAAGAGAATCCATGACAAGGACACTGGAGGGATACTCAGGGGCGGTTAACTCTTTCAGTCTCAGGGGAGTTTAGTATCACAGGACCAATGTAATGCAGTTTTCAAATTTCAAAAGTGCTGTTCCAACCACACTGAAGACAAAGCTGTATGGTACACGAGAGGATACGGACTGCACGATGGTTTTCATAAAGGCTACCGGCCTCCTGATATCAGTTTTCTGACAGAAGGATCGAAGAAGTAGGAGAAGAAGGATCGAAGAAGTAGGAGAAGAATGTACTCTTTGGAATCGAACGAAAACGCTGGACTCATTCAGGAGACCGTTCTAATCCTCGGTACGGTGATAGATTTGTTAATATATAAAATCCGAACTTTCACAATCCGTGACAACTGCATTAACCAAGCGGAACGAAATACGTAGGCTCAAGGACAACCTCACTTTTCGCCCATTTTCATGTCACGTCCTATGGCGCCCTAAAAAAAATTGTAAATAGAGGCATTCAAGACAGCTGGAGACTTCAGACATATCCACTGAGCTCTTATTCCCGCCTTAACATCCGTGGCGAAGGCGTCAAGATGTTTGCCTCGCGCTCTGAAGGTCGTAGGTTCGTTTCCTGACTGCGCCGTTCAGTCACGAATGCAATTGTTAAGGCAATCAACTAGGGTCCGTTCCGGAGCTTCGGAGTTTGTACTTTGTGTTATGCTCCAGGTAGGCGGCTAGCTGAGAAAGACCGCGCTACGCAGGATAAAACACATTGTAATGAATATACATCAACGGTTAACAGTACCAGTCCTATGCTGGTGTCGGCTCTGTGGCTAAGTCGATGCGAACGCCTCGTAATGCCGGGATGCCAGATTCGATCCCAGCTGCGGGCCATGCGCCTTGCGTTTGTTTCTACAGTGGTATCAAGAAAGCTGACCGCCCAGAAAGCAATGACAAACTACTGGACGTAAATTTGCCTAGAGAAACCACACTACAGCCAGGGGCTGCTGGGGTTGGTTTTGCAAGGTCCTGTAAAAGATACGCAACTGACCTGTGCTGGTTGACAAGACTTCTGCTACGTCTGGTGTGCCTCTCGTGCATGGCTGTACTAATCTTATATAGCACATGCAGGTTTCTCCCTTTGGCGAGCACAAAACAAGTAAATTACCAGTAAAAGACTCGTTTGAACGCATTCAGACGAATTGGGCATATAGGGCTAGACCTGTATTTTTGTAGACAAATCGGCATTTAGTGGGTGATGTGGTCAGCATATCGGCCGCCTTTACTTTCCATCACTTGACCTGGTACCCATTCAAGGCTGGGTCGACTTGGAAGCCAGTCATTTTCCAGAAAAAAATTTCGGCTAGCCTAGACTTAAACCCGCGACCTTCCGATTCTCAGACGAACGTCTAGCCGCTACACCACGACTGCTCCCGCATAAAAAATGTACTGGCACTAAATGAGAAACACGATACGTATTTAGGTGGCGTAAAACGATATTCCATCTCTATTATCAGCAAGAGTCTCTGTGGTTCATATCCACCATTTTTCAAGCACACTTGTCTAGCAGATAAGACAACGCCCACCTCATCACGCCCACTGCTCTCTGATTTGTTTGAAACATGCGAATACGATTACATAGATAGTCGAGTATATTGTGTTCTTAGTTCATTCTTCTCATTGTCGTCCGCTTCTCCTCCCACTTTCTCCTCCTCCTCTTCTTCTTCTTCTTCTTCTTCTTCTTCTTCTTCTTCTTCTTCTTCTTCTTCTTCTTCTTCTTCTTCTTCTTCTTCTTCTTCTTCTTCTTCTTCTTCTTCTTCTTTTCTGCTTCTTCTTTTCTGCTTTTTTTCTGCTGCTTCTTCTTCTTCTTCCTTCTTTTTCTTCTTCCTTTTTCTTCTTTTTTCTTCTTCTTCTCTTCTTCTTCTTCTTCTTCTTTCTTCTTCTTCTTCTTCTTCTTCTTCTTCTTCTTCTTCTTCTTCTTCTTCTTCTTCTTCTTCTTCTTCTTTTTCTTCTTCATCATCATCATCATCTTCTTCTTCTTCTTTTTCTTTTTCTTCTTCTTCTTCTTTTTTTCTTCTTCTTCTTCTTCTTCTTCTTCTTCTTCTTCTTCTTCTTCTTCTTCTTCTTCTTCTTCTTCTTCTTCTTTTCTTCTTCTTCTTCTTCTTCTTCTTCTTCTTCTTCTTCTTCTTCTTCTTCTTCTTCTTCTTCTTCTTCTTCTTCTTCTTCTTCTTCTTCTTCTTCTTCTCCACCTGGTTCTATTTATATCTCTCTCCCATCTCTTTTTTTTCTTCTTTTTCTTCTTTTTCTCTGCTCCTTCTTTTCTTCTCCTGCTGCTGCTGCTGCTGCTGCTGCTTCTTCTTCTTCTTCTTCTTCTTCTTCTTCTTCTTCTTCTTCTTCTTCTTCTTCTTCTTCTTCTTCTTCTTCTTCTTCTCCACCTGGTTCTATTTATATCTCTCTCCCATCTCTTTTTTTTAGTCCAGTAGTTTTTAACTTGGTAAAAGGAGAGGTAGTGCACGAAGAAGTTTCAAAGTTTCAAGAAGGGCGTCAATAAATTCCTAAACTGATTTTATTTGTAATAAACTATTTTACTATTATACTGTGTTAATGTTACACTGCGTTTCTGTAGTGTCTCTTTTACTCCATCCACCCATGTTCTTCTTGGTCGGCCTCTTGTAGCCTGCTGTCCTCATGTAGTACGCTCTAGCTGTTGTCGCTCTAGCTGTTGTCGTGACGTTCCCAAAGAATGTGAACCCCCTCCTTTCTGACGTTGGTGATCAGTTCTCTTTGTGAGTTACCTCTTTCAAGATATCTTCACTGCGCTGTAAAAATATTTCCTTGGTGTTTTCATAATTCTTTCATAAACATGGCCCCTTGGCGAAGCGATTATGATACTTGTCTTGTGCTGTGAAAGTTGTGGATTTAATTTTCGACTTGTGTGTTCTGTCCGCAAGTGTAGGTGTTTAGGAAATCCCCCGGGGTTGCTACTACTGCCTAATTCGAGCTTTGTGCAACGTTGTCGCGGTTCCTGCATCATTGCGAAGAGAGACAACCACGTGGAATAAAATCCAGAGCAACGAAATTAAACCTATCGGTAAGAAATGTTAGCATTCACTGTAAAAGAAATAGTAACGAAATAATAAAACAACTGAGTGCCGTCTCCACAATACTCACTGCAGTCTTAGGGATTTGGGGGGGGGGGGGGGGGGGGGGGGTGGGGGGGGGTATTTACGTGGTAATGGCTCTTTAAGTCCTTATCCCCTTCATGATTTAAATTCCAGCTCCAACTAAATCTGGCTAGGCGGCAGTCTAAATTTGCATCAGCGACCAGGCGTGCATGTAACCGCTGAAATCGTCGCGTTCAATTTGCATTGACAAAGCATTGAAAAAAAAAATCCCTCAACTATTTCTTTTTACTATTTATTAAAAATACGTCACTCTGTTCACGTCTAAACACATTGTGAAAGAGAACGATCACTGTATAATTAGACCACTGATTCGGGACATGAAAGATGTTAAAGTTACCAGTTACTAACGCTTACAACGCTTACAATGCTAACTGTGCATTCATATTCTAGAAAAGGCGAATCGACGAGGGGGAAAACATCACGTGATACCCTCTTCAGTGTGCAACTGTTGCCTGCTAACACATGTGATTTGATCATGTATCGCCACTGCTTTGTATACTACCAGGGCTTTTTTCTCTAGAAAATATTAAACGGTAAATATGCACTGTCTGTTTCAAATTATGTCTTCAATCTTTCTTTAGCATAATAAAAGTGGTGGGTATTCAGAGTGTACCCGTCTATCTTTATTCTTCCCTTCTAAAAAATCTGCTGTGTGCGTGTCACGAGACGATCTCAGTGATTCCAGAAGTTAGTACTTGTAATAAGTTCTTCTGGTTCTAAAGAGACAGAATTATATTTACTCTGCGCTTTATCCTAATATTGCTTTAAACCGCACGGATTTAAAATGTTTCCAGTCCCTAGTCCAGACAAAGCGACTCAGTCTTGGGTAATGTTACACAATTACACCGGGGCTAGAGAATTCCCTTTCACATGCCCATGTCATAAATGTTATCTCCTGACCAGACTGCTTTGAACAGACTTTTGATGAGACTAGGGGTGTAGGTTTGATTCTCACGCCAGTGTCATAATGTTATCTCCTAACACAGCCTGAGCGGGCCCTTTTGAACAGGGGAATTGAGTAGACGCTAGACATGGTGGAGCCGAAAAGTTTAAAGTTTCACACGTCAGTGTAAGACTAGAGAGAACAGGTGTTTGGCAATTAGGAATGTTTTATCTTGGTCAAGGTCGTACTGTAGGCCGTTCACTGTGAGTGACAGGTCACTGGTTAGCCAATTTGATTTGATAGGTACTTCGGAGGAGGAGCTTAAGCCATCATCTTGAGGG